CACACCAACGGCGCATACGCTGTGATGACGACGTGTAGGAATGTTCTTTTCTTTGACTTTCACTTTTTTCAGTTTCTGTTGCCCAAAACTTTACTCTACGTTGTCATTTACCTATATAGAGGAATGCATCCATTTGTGCTCTGAACGAAGAAAGAAAAATCTACTATGGTTGGCAGCTACTACCTGAAGAATGATCCGACCCAAACTACTCAAAACAGTCTTTTGAATGCCCCTTTAAACACTTCAAGTAATCGAAACGACTACTTATAAACGCAACCGGCGCTAGTCGCTTAGAAAGGTTTCACTGTATTTTAAAGGAAATAAAATTTAAATTACCTAACAAATAAATGATAAATTATTTTCGCAAATTAAACCATCAGACACAAAAAACTGCTAAAACGTATAATACCTTCAATCAAAGGTACAACATCCAGATTCGTTTTTATACGGTCGACTTCGTGCTTGGCGAAGGTCGACAGCTTGGCAAATCGCATAACTACAAACATAATCTGGTAAATCATCATAATCACGACGAAACAAAAACGAAGTTGTGCCATTACTGTGTTGGTTCATGAGCATTCGGTTGCTGATCCGCATGAGATAAAACCGGTTAAGAAAGTACTGCATGTTCTTCGAGTTCAAAAAATTGCTGCCGCAGCTGTTTTTCAATTCCATAAGCCCCTAGAACGAAGTGACGAGGTGAAAAAAAGATAATCAGGCGGGATCATGTCTCTACTTCAGCAACCGTTTCGACGACAGTACTGTGGCGGTGGTAAATTTTTGTCAACGTTTCCGTAAACCTAAACTTCACCATTAACACTGCAATCCGTCAAGTATTAATACAATAGGGCGGGAAGAAAGCTCAGCTTGTCTCCAGAAGTATGGCGAGCTGGACGAAAGTCGGGGTCAAGCAGTTCCAGGGTGACAATACACCGCTATACTACGAAAAGAACGGTTTTGCAGGAGGTACTTAAGAGTTTATTATCGAACAATTCTGCCGATTTTTCACATTAAAAATAAAAGGCCTGTTAAAACTATTTTTGTTCAACACTAGTTTGAAACCTAACCCGGCGTCCTATGCACTGCAGGCGCTTAAACACCATGGAGCAGTGGCCTGTTTAAATGGTTCCCCTAAGCGTCTAGAAGCAAGGGGGCAGTGCAATAGTGCTGTTGGTGCAAAGTGAGAAATAGATTATTCCTTCGTTACACTGCGCATTTTCGCCATTTCAATGCAGTATCATTCCCTTTAATGCAACATCTTCAGCGTCCAGAACATCAGGATATTTTGTCCACCAATTTTTCTTCGACTGCCGTGCGGTTTTTTGTATACTTAATGATATTACTTAAAAACATGTCGCGCAGTAGTGTATTAACAAAATCAGCTTGTTAACCTACATGATTTTAGTGAAAATAACTGGTTGTGATTTTAAATATCTCTCAATTATGGTTTAGCCAATGACGAGTATTACGCAAGAATAGATTTAAATTACTTTGCCGAATATTAAATTTTTGCTTATTCTTCAAATCAAATTTTTAAAGTTAATGTTAAGCTCATCTGGACTAAAACATCACAGGTTTGCAGTCTGTATGCCCGTTCCGGTCGCTGCCACTTTCCCTTACTTATTTTCGATTTTTCGCTGCCATTGCAGGCGATTTAGATTTCACAGATCAAGACTATGAGGAGATCGAACAACTGACGCAAATGAAAACCCTCAATGCTACAAATATCAATCAAGAGCCGAAGCTGCAGCGCAGGATAATAAATCATACTTCTCCCGTTGAAAACAGGACAACGGAACTGAACGCTGTCATTCATTCCCGCTGATTAAACGGTCGTATAATGTGTACGATTGTACAATTTTCGCAACGGTCAAGTTTGACAGATGGTACCTTCGACCTTGGTGTAATTTATTAAAAATGGTATTATAGTAACTTTTAGAATTCCAACGCGTTTTCCGAAATTTAACCGCTGCCTGTGATATGGCTCCCCATTTCTATGTTGACTCTGAATCACGTCTGATCGTTTGCTCATTCTGTATCTATCTTCATTCATACACATTAGGGCAAAAACGTCTACTCTTTAAGCTTTTGTCGACATAGCCTTAACTGCGAAAAACTAACATGTGGTTAATCTAAAGGTTCACTAAGATTAATTGTTTGGTTCGTGCGTTGCTGGCCTAGTGAAAACAGCACACGACACGGTTTATTTATACACGATGCACAATGCCTTCAAGCTCCAAATGTACTAACAGCTGTGAAAAACAAAAACAACGTCAGAGGCCAACTCACGTCTGCATCTTGAGCAAGGTCCTCTAGATAACGCCAGTGTTCAATCACATGACTCACCAAATTGTTTGCACTGTGTATAAATACACCGTGTTTTACACTGTTTTTAATCGCAAGCCGTAACAACATAAATAAAGCTAATGATGTAAACATTTAAGGGGGATCAGATTTGTTTACAACCAGAACGTAAGAATTTTCGCTTGTAAACAAGTTCACGAAATAAATTCTGATTATTCAGACGAATATCGCATGCAAGTTGGCGGGCGGTCTCGGATCTGCTCTGTCATCCGTGCTGCGGATAGTTCCCAGCTTGCGCATCACTGTAGATACTTCGGAAATTTCATCATTTGCACTGTTTGTTTATATGCAGCATCCATTTCTCTTAGTTTCACTCACATTTTGCGTCTGAACAATTACCCGCCCTACTCATTTTCATGCTTTGTCAGTCTTGTAGTCTCTCACCAAAACATCTAAGTTATTTGCCATGATCTGCCAAAACAGAAATGGCTGTTGTCAAGGGCCTATATATGACATACTAAGAGTTTATATACACATTTTCTGCGAGCAAAGTTTTCTTACTACCGTTTCGTTACTGCGCGCTCTGTACTGTTACTGAAGTTATTCATTTCACTTTATTCTGTCGCATGCATGAAGGGTAGGTGACTAGCGCTTTTGTACTTAAATGTATGCATTATTATGCTGTTGCGATTATATACTGTCTTAATTATTAAACTTGATTGGTTATAAGAGGAATTACAAAATTTGAGATATGAAAGACAGCCGTTTTGTGAAGCTACCGAAAATAGTCAAAATATCGATACATCTGTACCCAATTCAGATAGTAAGGTAAGTCATAAATCATGATTTGACGAAAAAAATACCCTTCGCATTCAAGGAGGAACATTTCAACTAAAAAATGAAATCTGAATTGTCTGCATAC